TCGGCGGGACTGATGGTACGCACCATTTATCGGTAGGGTATAGAGACTGGTAGAATATCATAGAGGGAAGCACAATAGATCAAACTGGTCGCGGTGCATGGGGAAACCCACCCTCTAAATAACTAACTAATCCCGTACATTCGTGTGCGTCCCGTAACTGGTATTAGCTATTGATAAAGCTGTGCTAGTATATGTTGGTGACTAAAGGCAGTATGCGAGGGATTTGTGGCGTTAGAATACCACTGGACCAGGTTTTTCTCCGAGCATTGCAGGTTTACCTTTCAATTGTTCATCCACTGCCCCATTCTTTAACGTCATCCGAGACTGGTACAGTGTATCCCATATGCAGCCTAAATACCACGGGTCTCACGCCACCGGAAGATTACAAGAAATGTAACTGATATCTATTTAACGATATCTGAACGACTTGTTTCCTGGAAGCTCTCCAGCCTGCAGAATCTTGGGAAATATCTCTGTACGGTTCACGAATAGGAAGTAATTGTTCTAGACACTGGGAAGAGCGTCTGATTTGTGCTGCGTAGTTTCTTTGTCCCCTTTTGCAGGAATTGCAACACCACCTTTATATTTCTGTACCGGTGTTACACCTGAAGCTGCGTCACATCTTTGAATATCACGGAAGGGCATATGCACGAATACGGAACCTCTTGTATTGCAGTTGTAACTTCCTGCAAGCAGAATTGTTATCATGATTACGTCATTTTGAGATTGTCACTAAGATCGGTTGTGCCAAAAGTCGATTAGTTTGAGGCGTGAATAATGATGTTGAGGAACCTGCCCGACCGTAAAAATGACTAAAATTGTGAGTTCGAGATTTTATAAATGAATTATGACTATTGAAGGATCTTAATAATATGAAGTGATTTTTCCCCCGTTGATCTTCATGTCTTTGGGATGATCAATTGAAGGAAACCCCCATGTAGGGCATGTAGTACGCATTGGAGTGATGAGAAATGCATACAGAATTCGGAAAAAATAGGGTATGAGTTTGTGGGCTGGGTTCAGCAGGCACAGGATAAGGACCAATGTTTGGTTTTTGTAAACGCGATGACGAAACTTCGGGTTCAGTAAAGTGTGGAGGATGTATGGACTAGTTGTCACTAGTAGTACACACACACACACACACACACCGGACACGCGTAACCAGGACACCATCCACGAAATACACACCTCTGAAAAACTAAGACAGTACAGAAGAGGTACGCTGCGGTACACTTGCAACTTGTTGCATCATTTTAAAGTTTTAAAAACATGTTACATACGAGTATTAAAATGCTAAGGAGACGTTGAACATTGGTTTAAGTAATAAACGTTTTTAGACACACAGTCTACACTGGGTATATATACATCGTAATGCTATGAAGCAGTGTAGCAGTTTACGAAGGTCACATAGGCCTATGCCTGACGATGGCCTTGTTTGACCGAAACATGTCTTTGAGTTTGCACGAAAGCATGGACTAACTGGTGATTCGGCCGAAGAACAATGTATTGTGTGTGTGTCTGTGTCGGGTGAGGTCGGGTAAATTGCTGCTGGTCCTCGCCAGGACAGTCATTAGTTCCGAACCCCGCAGGAATCATGATCATATTTTTCTCTCACGGCTCCAGGGGTCATGCAGCTAACTCTGTGTGTGTGTGTGTCGTGAAAATTTCAGCCGGTCCTCGCCAGCACAGTCATTCTTGATTCCGATCTCCGCAGGCATCATGACTATATTTTTCTCTAGCACGACTCTGGGAGTCATGCAGGTAACTGTGTGTGTCGTGTAAATCGCTGCTGGTACTCGCCAGCAGACTCAGTCTTGGTTCCGAGCCGCGCAGGAATCATGACTATATTTTTCTCTTTCGTGACTCTGGGAGTCATGCAGCTATGTGTTTGTGTGTGTCAAGTGACTAGTTGAGCGACTGTTAGCTTTTCAAGAACTTTGTTTTAAGGGGTTTGTAAGGAGGCCCCATGCAAGACAGCTGTTGGCGTGAATATGCTGGATATTCTGTCGCATAGAGGATACTAAGAACAAGTGCTTCGAGTCACACAGATGGTGTAGAGGAGTACGCATTTGATGCACACCGTTGTTATGGGTACTAAAATCAGTGCATGAAAACAGTTTGCCTTGGTTTGTGCTCTAGTCTCTCGTGAGAGAACAGCAGACAATTGCTGTGTTTCCCACAGTTGACAACAGACTGTAAGCCTTATGGGGTGGTTCATATTGTGTGCAGAGGGAGGCCTGCGGCCAGAGTGGTGTTCTATGATGACGCAGTCATGACGTAACTTCACCCCCTTCCATGCCGTGATGATACAACGGACCATGAATACAGAAAGCGGATGAACCCTCCCTTATGCTGCCCCCCCAACCTTTATGTGAGTTTTTTTTTTAGCAATTTGTCTCGTGCACAATGTTATATTGGACAGTAATTATTCTTCCAGTGAGCAAGTTGCTATAGCAATGCTGTCACACAAAATCTAGTGCGATATTTGTTAGGGTGAGAACATTTAATAGATCGACGTACGCTGAGGCGCTTGTCCGTCGTGGATTAGCCGTCCCAGTGTCATGACTAACGTTTAGAATTACGAAAGTTCTCCCTACGTGGAATTTTGACCCTTTATTGAGCTTTGTCTGACCTACTCTTAATTATATAGCTTTTTATATAGTCATTGTTCCGGAATAGAGCACGTGATGTGAAGAAACTGCTCTGTTACATGATGGGGGCACTTTCGTTAGGATCACCGATGAACTGGAAAAGAGGAAGTGGAAGGAAAAGGTGACGTAAGAAGTGTAGGGTTGTTTAGTTTTTCTTGTTGGGTGAGATGAGACTTGAATCCACTTGGTACGTCTGCCACAAATTGACCTATTATACCAGCCCCTCATGATATATGATGAGTGTCGGGTAGTCTGTGGGATGAGATTTGGCAGGGGAAACCGAAGTACTCAGAGAATATGTGCCATTTTGTCTGCCACATATCCCACATGACCTGACCTGGGCTCGAAGCCGGCGGCTAACTTCCTGGCCGATGACACGGCCACAGTAAGAACTGTAACTACAAAATCTTATTGTCAGATTATCAATAACCGAATGATTTATGTGGACGGACACGCGAAGAGTAGATCTGAGCTTTCCTGTACGAGTGTACCGCGTCAGAAAGTTTGCGCTTAGGGCAGACCCGCCCAGCGTCCTATACAATCTGTACCGCAGGCTGTTTTCCGGAGGATGTAGCGGCAAGGGCTTGCAGCTGACCACTCACCTCCATCCAGTGCCGAGGTTAAGAATGGCTGAGCTCTACCTTCAGAGCCGGGATGGCTCAATCGGTTAGCGACAGGCTACATGACTACTCCACAGCGCCCAGAGCGACTCCGGGGCTCACCCGGCCTCCTATCCAATGGGTATCGTAGGCTCTTTACCTGGGAGTAAAGCAGCCGGAGCGTGTAGCTGACCGGTCAAGAATGGTGGAGCTTATATCCGCTCCATACGTCTGCATGGCATGGTGCTCATATAATTAAGCATCACATTTATCAAACAGAACTTTTTTATTAAGAAAAGGGGAGAAGATGCCGTATTGTGCCCAGAGCCCACCATTGCCTTAAAGTGACCCTGGTTTCAGTGGAGATCAGGGCAGAATTTCACTTAACAGGAAGTATCATTCACTATTTTACGGCTTCCTCATGCGTTACAAAATCCAGGTCGTCACTTCGGTAGTCAGGCATCTACACATCACGGCAGGCACTGTGCGCCTTTCGGATGTGTTACTCATTCATTTTCCTTTTATAAGCTACCTGTTATATGTCGAAATGTATTAGGCAGGCGAGGTAGCTCAGTATAGCGACCAGTCACAGGCTTGATGGCCGAGAAATTAGGGTTTCGAATCCAGGAAGGGGTAAGAGATTTTTCTTCATACTGTCCAGACGGCTCTGTCCAGTGGCTGCCAGAGGGCTCTTTCCTCGGAAAGAAGCGGCAGGGGCTTGAGGCTGACCTCTCAGATCCATCACTTGCAGAGGTTTAAAATGACGAGCTATACCTTCACTTTCCGTTCGTCTTTATGGCGTGGTGCTTAAATAAACACGGAGAAAACGTCATCTTTACCTTTTAATACCTGGGTTTGCTGAAATTACTGAATTTGAAAATATGGTGTGTTTTAGTAATAAAGCTATATGTTATGTTCACATATTGCTTAAAGTGAACGCTTCGTGGGCATGTTATTTTCGAAACTGATGTGAACGAATTTTCATTCTGCTTTGTAATGCCGGTCGTCTAAAAATTGTTGGGCGAATTTGATATTTGTGTGTTAGATTTCGAGATCTTAGCGGTGGGTTTAAATATTGCTGTCTAATGGGATGAAGCGCCTTGTAGTCTGGTAAAAGGCTGTCAACGTTTATTCAAAATATCCGAAAACCTCTACCATTTCTTCTACTCAGAAGATGGAGGTAGCATGTTTCTTCGTAACGTTGATGAACTTCTACCAGACTACGTGGCATCACACCCCAGAGAATCTACATTGATTTAGTAGTTTTTTAATATAATCAGCCCTTTACACGAATTTCGCTTTGAATTTTTATCGTTGTTTCTTAAAAAGCTGTCTCACAGAACATTATTACTGGCACAAAATATAAATAACAATAAGATCCACGGCTTTTATTGTAAACATTTTTCGACTTTTGTTTACAGAATGCCCAAAATTCAGTTAACTAAAGCATTCTGTCATAATAACGGGAGTGTTCAGGTTTAAACCAGCCAGTCAATTTGTGGAACGATATCACAGCGTTGTGAATTGAGCACCGAACGTGGAGGAGCTCATTTGAAACAATTTATGACTTCCATAAGTGGCACAGAAACCTGTAACATTTTAGTGTACATTTTGCTAACATTTCAGTGACTTTTGGGCCACTCTGTATATTTAACGTAGTGCTAGGGAAAGAATTATTTTTCACAGCCCTACGTAGTGTGATGAATTTTCCACTGATGTTTACAGTATAAGGGGTTTCTTCTTGTTGCAGGGACGTGGTACCAGATCCACTCTCCGACCTGATCATCTCAGATGACAGTGATGACGAAAAGGTAAGTAACGAATCATTAACCCGATATTTTCTTAGCTCGGTATGAATTCATATCGATATGTATGCGATAATCGGAATTTCGTCTTCGGCCAATCGACAGCTGAATAAAGCAGATACGTGTATTTATAACAGGACAACACATACTGCTACTTTAACACCCGTAATTTCTGCAGTTTCGGGGGATGAGGTTAGAGACATTGCAGAACTTTTCACGATTTTTCCCGATGAATCACTGCAACTCATGGCCAGTAACATTTGGAATGAAAGGAAGTTATTAAGTCTGTGGACCGCTTGGCGGCATTATGTGGCACGATGAGCAGTGCGGTTAATGCGTGGGAATTTGTTTATGATTTGTCAGCTGTGGGCGGCAGTATCAGCTCCATTAACCACATGTTCTCAGTTACAATTAGTGAGCAGTGCGTTCCATCATGGTGCGGTATGCTTTAGAGCAACATTTGCTTCTGTTTGATATCTACGTTAAATACGGATCTACTAGAAATTGGCGGCGACCATTTCGACATAAATTTCATAGTGGAAGAGTTCCTAGCAAACAGACAATTCACAATTTGTTGAATAGGCATATATTAACGGGACTATTAATAGACAAGAAACAAAACTTAAGAGCCGAGTGTTTACTGAAGAGAAGTTGGATGACAGAGGCCGGACTTGAACATAGACCTAGAAAGTCACTGAAACGTCTAGCTCAGGAGACTGGAATGTCAAAACCTAGTGCTAGAACGGCAACAGAACTAATGAAGCTTAAACCCTATGAAACAACAGTAATGCGCGCACTCCTTGCAGCCGCGCGATCCAGCTAGCAGAGTTCATTTTTGCAGTTTTGTACAGTCTGTCGTCGAAGGTGAGATCGATCAGCGATTGGCATTCCTTTCTGATGAAGCGTGGTTTCACATCCAGGGATACGTAAAATGCGCAAAACAGCCGCTGCTGAAATTCACAGAATCCATATCTAAACCACGAAGCCCCGCTCCATGCAGTAAAAGTTGGTGTCTGGTGTGCTGTAAGCGCAAGAACGGCAACAAAATTGCTGAAGGCATCCAATGAAAGTTGGTGTCTGGTGTGCTGTAAGTGCAAGAAGGGCAACAAAATTGCTGAAGACATCCAGTGAAAGTTGGTGCCTGGTGTGCTGTAAGTGCAAGAACGGCAACAAAATTGCTGAAGACATCCAGTGAAAGTTTGTGTCTGGTGTGCTGTAAGTGCAAGAAGGGCAACACAGTTACTGAAGACATCCAGTGAAAGTTGGTGCCTGGTGTGCTTAAGTGCAAGAACGGCAACACAATTGCTGAAGACATCCAGTGAAAGTTTGTGCCTGGTGTGCTCTAAGTGCAAGAACGGCAACACAATTGATGAAGACATCCAGTGAAAGTTGGTGCCTGGTGTGCTTAAGTGCAAGAACGGCAACACAGTTGCCGAAGACATCCAGTGAAAGTTGGTGCCTGGTGTGCTGTAAGTGCAAGAACGGCAACACAATTGCTGAAGACATCCAGTGAAAATCAGTGCCTGGTGTGCTGTAAGTGCAAGAAAGGCGACACAATTGCTGAAGACATCCAGTGAAAATCGGTGCCTGGTGTGCTGTAAGTGCAAGAAAGGCAAAACAATTTCTGAAGACATCCAGTGAAAGTTGGTGTCTGGTGTGCTGTAAGTGCAAGAAAGGCAAAACAATTGCTGAAGACATCCAGTGAAAGTTGGTGTCTGGTGTGCTGTAAGTGCAAGAAAAATTGTTATATCTTTGTTTTCTTAGCGAAACAGCTGATTGCGAAAGCTACCTACGTGTGGAGGGACATCATTTTCAACACTGTGATCTGTGAGTTGTAACTAGTTCATTCCGAACGATGTTGGCCAACATGCATATTGATTCATCGGCAAAATTCGTATGCGCCTCGCAGCCGGCGGTGCACCGGTCACTGTGAGACGCAGAGCCGTGGAACCGGTCAACAAGGTAAAAATCCTTCCTGTAGATTACGTATATTGTAGTTGTGTTTTGAATTATAAAGATCCATGCCTTTCAAATATTCATTGCAGATCAACATTTTTAACTGTGTGCTAAATAACGTAACTAAGAAAGTTCCATTCATGCAACTAGCATACATCCGTTGAAGCTGTGAACTGAAAGCGTTGCTCATCTGGCCGTATGTCTGACGGACTAAGTGTGTCGTATATTTTCAGGTGGTGCTCAACCCCGAGTCCAAGCTCCATGGATCCTCGAACCAAATGGACGAGCCGTAAGTGACTATCAATCTGTACTTATAGATTATGTATTACCCGGAAGACTGACACGCGCGAGCATTGTATGTTTGCCCCGCAAGGTTAAACGTAAACTAATGCTAAAAATGTCATGGCCACCTATGTAAGCATGTATCATTGCTGTCTCGCATGTGTGTCGGTGTTTAACGTATGAAGTAAACTGTATTGGATCTGCAAAAGGTTCGTGTTTGTACGTTAGAAAATTAAGTTTTTCTCTGTATTGGGAAATGGGAACGTGGTCACTGAAAACGGAGGCTCTTGATGATGGTAGGTGTAATCAAGAGCCTCATTTTTTTGTTGGGAAGTAATAATAATGCGGAGTATGCTACAGTGAGGCAGATCAGAGGCTGCTGCTGGTAGCCCTGTTCAGGAGCCTCTTTATGTTGTTGGCAAATAATAAAACTCAGCATAGTGCACTTGTTCAAAAAGAAACTGTTTCGTACGCCTGTGGGAGGGGCGCGCGGTAACGTAGTCGGTTGAGGCACTATGTTACAAGCCAGAAGGTCGCAGGTTCGAGTCCCGATGAAGTGGATTTTTTTTAAGTTGACCTAATCCTTCCAACCGCAATATATCCCTGGGGTCGACTCAGCCTCTAACAGAAATGAGTACCAAGAATCTTCCTGGGAGGGTAAAGGGCGGACGGTGCGTAAGGCTGACAACCTTACCGCCATCTGTGAGCCGATTGTCTAGAAAATGTGAGACCCTCAACGTCTCACAACCCTATCGGCCTCCATGGCCTGTTACAGGGATAGCTTTTGTCTTTTACCTGTTTAATGAATGGGACAGGTTCTATGCATGTGTAAAGGTAAAAGTAAAATTGACTCTGTGCTTAAGTAATTAAGCACTACTGAAGTGAAGACGCATTCGAGAGTGGAGGTATAGCTGCACCATTCTTGACCTCTGCAATAGAAGGAGGTGAGTGGTCAGCTTCACTCACCGGCCGTTTTAGTCCCTGGTACCCATTGTATAGGAGGCTGGGTGTGCCTCAGAGCTGGTCTGGGCGCTGTGGAGAAGACAAAAATAATTTTCCCCTGCAGGGTACAGAGCCCAGTAGCCCGTCACTGTACCGACTGAATTATCCCGGCTCCCCTCTTTGCGTATCTACCACACATAAGACACACATGAGGATATAAGGAGGGTCGTGTCCCAAGTTATAATGTACGTATGGGGACAGTGTAAAAATGTGAAGCGTTTCGCGAGCTTCGTGGTGTATAAAATAAACGAGGAAACTGCCATTTGAGTTTTGAAGGGTTATTACGCTAGTGTTATGGTCTCCTAGTCTACCGTTTCCTCTGTCAAATTAATGGAAGAAATGTTGACAGTGTGTTTAACACCGAGCATACTAGGGTAACAGTATCGATTTAGACGTGTGTTGGGAGAGGTTCCCGCTTGGAGCCTGTTTTCTTAGTCTTCCTCAGTCTTCTTTGAAAAACTGGTTAGTGCCTTGAAATAGGCCATAAACATCGCCATCCAAATCTGTAACAGTTCACCATTCATGATCTAATTTCTCTCTTGTTCTACATCATGTAATGTCAGTTAGAGAAATACATCGTTAAATAATGTAAGATTCGTCCGTCTTTACCGTAATATCATTATTATTTATTTATTTACTCTGTGGCAGCGCACTAGAGTAAGACACAACACACAAATAGATACATCACACAAAATAACACACCACGCCCAAACAAAACACAGCACACAAAACTACACAAGCAATAAAGGACACAGTACATAGAATGAATACAATGCAAATACAAAATTATAACTACAATTATTCAAATTAATATTAATAAAAAATAAGCATACTATACTGATGCATAACTGATGCACCCACATTTCACCATAAGCTTCCCTTCTTTATAAGGAGATATTCTATCTGATGTATGTTGTGATGGCAATGTGGCATACTAAACTCAGTCTGAATTAAGTCGATGTACATGGAGTATACACAAAGCTCCTCTTTGCTGTGTGGTTTCCTGTGTTTTTATGTAAATGGTAATAAAATCTAATACAGATACGAAACCATAATTTTTCCTGTGGTTCTGTATAGGTGTAAAACTTCCTCTCTGACATTAAGCGAGGAACATAGACTGAGGGTGTTTGAGAACAGGGTGTTGAGAATATTTGGACCGAAGGGAGATGAAGTGACAGGAGGTTGGAGAAAACTGCATAATGAGGAGCTTCATAACTTGTACACTTCTCCAAGGATAATTAGAATGATTAAGTCAAGGAGGATGAGGTGGGCAGGGCATGTAGCACGAATGGGAGAGTAGAGGAATGCATATAGGATATTGGTGGGAAAGCTAGAAGGAAAAAGACCAAGACGTAAGTGGGTGGACAATCTTAAACTGGATCTTAGAGATATAAGACGGGTTGGTATGGACTGGATTGATCTGGCTCAGGATAGGGACCAGTGGAGGGCTCTTTTGAACACGGTAATGAACCTCTGGGTTCCATAAAATGCTGGGAAATTCTTGAGTAGCTGCAGAAGGGCTCAGCTCCGTGAGTAAGCAAGCACAGCAGTCTGTGGGGGGTAACGCACACTATTTGCAGAACCGCGTTTCCCAAGGTCAAGGTTATATGGGGAATTGAGGATTAGGGGAACCGCGATCGGTATTCATCAGAGCTTAAATAAACCGTCTGCTCCTCCGTAACACATAAAAAGTGTTTTTTGACAGTAAAGGAAACACGAGTACAATGCGCATGTGCAGTGGTAACATGGAAACCGGTTTCGGATGCCATTGCAGACCACCCACATGAAATGTGGATCTCATGGCACGGAGGCGACCGATATTTTCACCATGTTTACGTACATTAAAAAATAAAAACCACATAACAGCGGTTGGCAGAACTGTATACAAATGGAAAACCGCGGATACTAGAAATAACGGAGTTGGCAAAACCGCAGCTGGCGAGAGATCGTTGTAAATCACACGCCGAAGACAGCCAGAAAGATTGCGTCGAGTTGTGTGTGATAACGAGGCTTGCAGTAATGAAACTGCGCTATAACGGCGTAGGGCTACTGGCCGGTTGTCACGTATACGCATTTCGCGAGTAAAGCAAAGACAAACTGCTCACGTCACGAGTAAGACGAGGATGTAGTAGTTCAGTACAGGAACGTTGTAAACTCTGAAAATAGGTAGTGGCAAATAATTACTCTCCAAACAACGTAATGCCGACAGATAACACGTTAAATAACGTGCTAATTCCAGGTACAGTGTTTTTGAGAGGGTTACTCCTCTGCAGCGGAAATTATCCGCTCTGTCAGTCACCGTGTATATGAAATTCCTGTATTATGCTCTGTCCTGAGCAAGTTGAACGCGCCCGTCGTACTATTTCCATAAAAAATCTGTTTTAATATTATCTTATAAAAATTTTTACGCATTTATCATTTATCCGTTTGTGCCACATGCCCCCACACATCTCGTCATTCGTTTTAAATCTTGCTGATTCATCCCCCGTAGATTCAGATGTCTTCCTCAGCACCATATCCTCTTACGTCATCAGTAATTGCATTGTCAGGAAAGGTAGAACTATGTAGTAGGAAGTATTTCATGAACGTAATCTGACGTTAATTTCAAAACATAATAGTTTAAACCGCCTGTCACGGTAGCCGAGCGGTGTAAGGCATGTACTGTCTTCGTTTGCTTGGAAACCGGGGTCGTGGGTTCGAATCCCACTCAGGGCATGGATGTTTAGTTTGTGTGTGTGCGTTTTCCTGTGTTTGTGTACAGGCAGAGGCCTTGCGACGAGCTGATCACCCGCCCAAGGAGTCGTACCAAATGTGTAAGATCTAGAAAAACCGAAGCGAACGGAGAAGTTCGTGGAGGTAGGCCTAGGCCCACCGGGGCTGTAGTGCCAAGGAAAAAGAAATAGTTTAGACCTGTTACATTATGAACTTCCCCACATATTAATAGGATGTCCAAATGAAGAATCCTGATGTTGATTGGGCGTGTAGCACTCATGGCTTACATGAGAGAATTAGAGACCGGAAGCGAGACTCCTCATCCGAGACCTAGAATAATATTGTCACGATTTAGGAGTGACTGTAGACGGGATTTGGATTTGTGACTCGATTTATTGACCACTTATGTAACTCGTTACTGCACTTCACAAATCCCTCTCGCACACAGACTAGTCTTCTCAGTCTGTTACAGTATCCGCTAGTCGTTTCCTTGTAACGGTGTTTCACACTATAAGTCTCACTGAATTACTCCAAATATCACTGTAACTACAGTACGCATAAAGTCTTCTCTTCACAGCCTGACTTTCAACTGACTCAGCTGAGTCTGAGTCTTATGTTACGACCGACGGTCAGTCGGCTAGTCTATCTTGGAATAAAGCACCCATCTGGGGCTTACGGCCAGATTTTTATAATTGTCAGACAGTTGCGAGTTTGTTGATGTGGGGCACTCTCTCTGACGAGAGGACGGGTCTGTCGTTTACAAACGCTGCTGGTCTTCGCCAGCGAAGTCACTCTCGAGTCGGAGTCCCGTGGTACTGGTGACCATATTTTACTGTCTCAAGATTCGAGACTTACCTTTTCGGCGTCTCCTACGACTGGCAGGGCTACGTGGAGGTATTCGACCCCGCCTCCACACGGGATCTGACCCAGCTGTAAACCTCGTTTCACTTATAACCCCTCGACACGGACCACGTAGAAAACTGATCTTCTGTTGTTGCTCCAATCATCTCCATGGTAACGTGTTTGTTTGCGAAGGCGTTACCTAGCAACGGTCTAGTATTCTTGCTTATTCAAAATCTGTTGCCTAGCAGGGAATGTTGTTTCGTTGTCTTCTTCGAAGCCGCTACCCAGCAACGGCTGCACATGGTACAATATTGAAAGGGATCTTTGAATAAATAGAGCATTTATGTCACTTAGAGGGGAGTGTGTTGTTATACTGATGATGAGAACAACACAAGGCAGTGATACATCAGCGACCGGAATGCAGGGCGAACAAACGTAAAAAGGGTTTAT